AAAGGCCCTGAGGCTGAAAAGAGTGTGGTGTGTTTGCAGACCAGCAGGAAGGCCAGCAGGGTTGGGGCGAGGGAGTGGGAGTGACCAGAGTGGGGGTGACCTGATCACATAGGGCCCTGTCTGGACTTCATTCAAGTGTGAGGAGAAGCCACCTGAGGGGACTGAGGAGACCTCAAATGGCTTCCAAATGAAGGATGGACTGAGCATGCATGTGTGTGTGGGTGTACGTGTGTCAAAGGAGACAGCAGAAGAGGCCCCTAGATTCCAGCAGAGCTCAAATTTCCAGCGTTTCAATCCTAAAGAACTAGCTCCGCCTCCTCGTGGCATTCCAGGACCCATGGACCTCCTTAACAGCCCATCTTAGCCCAGATGGGCCCCCCCCGCCCCGTGCCCAGCTCCATGAGACCCTCACAGCATCTACGTTCTCTCCCAGCTTTGGGGGTGGGCGTGTCCAGAAGAGAAGGAGGTGCCGTGAAGGAGGGAGACAGTCCCTCCCTCCCCAGTCTGCAGGACTGCGAGGAGGAGCCAGCAACAGCACCAGGGCCTTGCCAAAGACTCTTTAAGAAGGCAAACCACTCTGCTCTCACGGCCATTCACGGAAAAGGCAGGCGCGCCTCCCCCTCCAGGAAGCCTTCCTTCCAGCCTCCCCTCCACTTGCCTCCTATGGTGCTACCTGTCCTACGTGCCCCCCGATCCCTGACAATCTTCTTTGGGGGCTACAAAACCCTTGAGGGTCCTCCTTGCTGCATGGGCTATGGGCTTGGCTGGGATCTGGGTCCCCCTGGGGGACCTCTCCGAGAACTGGGGGGTTCAGTTGGGAGTGCCCACTTTCAGCACACCAGGAATTAGAAACTCCTCATACCCCTTCTCGCCCACCCCATCTGAGTGTTCTCATACCCCCCAGCTCCCACCCACAGACAGGGACCCTCCTTCAGCCCCTCTCATGCACATGCCCACCTGGAACACCCTCCTGGCTATTTCCCCCACCCTTGACTTCTCCCTGGGAGGGGGAAGATGCGCCTTGGACTGTGACTCACCAGGCCTGTGGCTTCCTCTTTACCAGCCCCCGGTGCCGCCTCCACTGGGAGTGGGGGCTGAGGTGGTAGGTAAGCTGCCGGCACAGCTTCTCCACGGCACCCAGCGCGTCGCCTTCCTGAAGGGGCAACCACAGACAGCAGGGCCTGAGTCATGGGAGCAGCTGGGGGCATGTGGCCCCTACCCCCAGGCCTCCTGCCTCCCTGGGAAGAGCACAGCACCCAAGGCTGAGCTGGGGGAGGCCTGCTCTGCTGGCCCAGGGTGGATGGCCTTAGCAGAGAGCAGTGGTTACAAGTGGATCTGCACCATGCTTTCAGTTTTTGTGAGTTAGCTGCTATCATTTATATAAAAGTCTGGATTCCAGGCGATCTGACAATTGGTGGAGCTGCGTGCCAGCTGACCCCTTGCCTCCTGGGCCAGACCTGTGCTGGTGGGTGCGGCAGGAGTCCCAATTGGGGGAGTGAGTGGCTGAGAGTGTCCAGTGGTCCAGTGCTAAGGGCCAAGAGTCAGCATGTGGCAGCCTCGATGCAAACAATGTGTGGACAGCGACTCGGATGTGCGGAGGTTCAATACGTTAACCTGTGCGTGGTGCTTAGCACAGCACCTGGCACAGGTTCACTAGGAGGCCAGCTTCATTGTTAGGATTGCCATCCTAGAGAAGCAGCAGAGTGAGTAGCTAAAAGCCAGGACTTGGGGCCAAACTGCATGGACTAAAATCCTGGCTTTGTCCCTCCCGTGTGGCTTTGGGCAAGTCACTAGACCTCTCTGAGCCTCTGATCCTCCTCTGTGAAGGAATAACAGTACCGACCTCACGAGGTTTTTGTAAGGATCAAGTTACTAGTTTTTTTTTTTTTTTTTTTTTTTTTTTTT